CGGCTCCGGGGTTCCCCGTGCGCTGGGGCTTGCGCTGGGAAGCCACGCTCGTGCAGCAGGGCGGGCAGATCGTGAGGCAAAAATGCCGGCAAAAAGTCCGTCTGAATCCTAAAGTGAGAAAATAACAGTACGTGGCAAGGGGAGGAGTGAAGAGAAGCGTTATTTTATTGTCTTAGTACAGCAGGAACTAAGATACAAGAGGTTATCCCAAACCAGGATTCAAAGGTGTAGGAGTCGTGAAAACACGTGTGGAGGAGCAGCTTCCTTTTGATGTAATTCCGTGTGCGGGTCTCAAATGCCTTGCCCAGAATCGCACAGGGCCTGTATTCAAAGCCAGGAACAGAGTCCAGAGCCATTGTCTTGTACTGCTATCAAAAGACCTTGTTCTTGCGTTCCCCTTATTCTGCGCTTTTTTCTCCCTTCGTGTTAAGAATCTTCCTTCCCAGTTCTCTTTTCCTCTCGTTCAAAATTAAGTAGGCCAAAAAAACTTTTACTGACAACTCACTGGGGAAACAGACCTTTGTTTACTATAATTAGCATGTGGACAGTTGCTGAAATCTACCTCTCTCATGCACTTCCTTTAGACTGTGAACCCCTTGAGACAAACCATTTTTTTTTAAGTATTCTTTATAATGCCGAAAATATGCTCAGTTATACATAAGGATGTAGTCAAAATTTCTGCCCGTTTTACTCTTCCTGTGATCAGGTCTGGATTGAGGAATGGTCTGTATACAGCACAAAGTGTGGGTTGTCTGAGCTGCATCTTAGCAGATAAATGCTTTACACTTAAGAAAGTTTGCAGCTGTCATTTAAAATAAACAGATGCACCAGAAAAAGAAATTTTGTCTTGGGAAAAATTCTGTTGCTCAGCCCAGCTGAACTTGTGGCCTCCTAGCTCTGTTAACAGCAGTTGCAAATAATGAAGTGACACAACTTAGAGTTTGTGTTGTTTACAAGCCTCATGCCCTTTTGCTGAACTTACTCTGTTTTCTGGTTCAGAGAGGACTCCTTTTCTGTGTGGAGTCTTCATCTAGCAAAGACAGACAGTGGGAACCGCAGTAGAGAACGAAATTCTGGATGTGTGCACCCTGCTCTGTAAGACGCTTCTGTTGACTTCAAAGGTCTTTGGCTATGTCTTTGTCCTGCCCAGAGTATTTTCTCTTCTTTGTCAGATGGGAGATGCTGTCTTAAATGGTTTTCTGGGAAAAATAGAAAGCTGGGCTCTTGACCAGCATCAGCCTGTGCAGATACCAAATTGTCACTAGTCTTCACACGCTTTTTCCTCACAGGGACTGACTTTGGTGTAAAGAGTCAAGAGCTCAAGGGTTTAGGTCTCCACTGTTTTTCTAGTCCATTAAAAGAGCTGCTGTGGTCACTGTCTGAAACAGCTGAGTAAGTATACCCTTACAGGGGGATCTGTACTAACATTATGTACACATAATTAAACAGGGTGTTACTGAGGGCTGCACAAGAAGCAAGAAGTGTTGCTTGTTCTCTTTCGTGTAATTGCTGCTAATTTTCAGTTGTTTTTTTTTAATTTGGCAGATGGAAGCTGAAGAGGAAGGGGCAAAAAAACTGTCAGAAGTAAACTTTGAAAACTTACCTCCCAACTACCATAATGAGTCCAACACGGAAACCAGAATTGGTAATAAAACTGTTCAGACTCATCAAGAAATTGATAAGGTATGCGAAAGCATATATAGGAAGCTGCTGGTTCTTACACAGCCTTTTCTTCAAAAATAAAATAAATTTTGCATGTTTTGGGGATAAATAAGATAATTTGGAGCATAAACTTCCCTGATGATAATTACTTTGGGGTTTTATTGTATCTTATCTGCTTGCCTACTAATTGTGTAGGGGCACATGTCATAAAAGGTTAATGTTAAATGATAGTTCATTGTGAAAAAAGTGCCTGCTAAAAATGGAACACAGGTACAGCTATTACATGGGTCATAAAAGAATGACCATCTCCTGCTCAGTTAACTTCATTACAGTGACATTTTAAATAGATAAGGAGGCAGCCCTGTCATCTGTTTCCCCCCCCCAGATTAGGATTTTCTATGAGTGACAGCAAAATGGGAAAAAAACGGAGGTGGGTGTGGGTTAATTACTGCAGAATGTAGGACCGAGAGTAGCAAAAGACTAATAAAAAAAGTAATTTGATATTTTGTTGTTCTTTTGCCATATCAGGTTACAGATAACAAAACTGGATCAACAGTTTTTTCTGAGACAGTTATTACATCTATAAAAGATGGAGAAAACAAACGAAATCATGTAAGTGGGCACATTTTTTCCTTTTGAAAATTAAGTACTTTGGATTCATCATTCAGAAGAAGGTTAATTACGTTCACCTAGAGAAATTTCTGAATGCTTTAGAACACACAAAACCATTGGGGGTAAGCAGTCAAAAATGGTTTTGCTTTTGGTTTTAGATTAATTTAATTTAGGAATATTATATTATGAATTGGAAGCAGGGTTTCACTGTTGTGGTTAACTGAGGTGCTTGATCTGAATATTTATTTTGTCTGTGAAATATAAATGTTGTACTCAAATATCAAAAATAGTTACACAGCACTTTCCACTGAGTGTGAATAAACCCTTAGTATAACAGTGCTTCGTGTATGTCCTCTCAGTGCTTTTGGGTTTCATAAAAAAAATTGCTTTATAGACTTTTAACACTAGAAAATAACCCCCAAATTGTCTATCGTGAAGAGTCTGTGGAGCAATATATGGCTCTATTTGCTTTTCAGCCTAACCTAGTGATGGACAACTGGCTGTGAAATATCACTTTGGGGAGGGGGAGAGGGGCAGGACAATAAATCCCCCTCCCTTCTGGAAATACGGTTGTTTAAGGATTCTCAAAGAAGTTTAAGGGTCAAGACTATTTTTTCCTGAGTCTCGCAAACACAGGTACATTTGCTAAACATCAATAGTCCCATGAGAAATTCAGTACATACCACTACTTAGAACAGCTGTTAGGTTTTCTTCAGTTATAGTCTTCCCAAAATGGGCGGGTTTTATGCTCTTATTAAGAGAGGGCTTGCCAGTGTTTCCTCTGATAGCTGGCTTCACCTGACTAATAGTTTGTGGTTTAATTTAGTTTAACATGCCCTGGCTTTTTTTAGAGTAACTTTCTTCCAGTTCTTTCACAGAAGCAGCTCTTCAACTATTTTATAAAACATTAAAAAAAAATTATGGTGGTAGTTCCTTTTTTTTATGGGCATAAAACCTGAAATTAGCGCATCTTTTCTGCCGTTACCCTCTTAAGTTTTCCCTCTTTCAGCTCATATTTTTATACTGCTGTTAAAGTTTGAGAATGGCAAGTAGCAAAATAAAGTTGCTTGTATATGCTATACTTGTTTATTTTTTACTGTTTTGCAAAGCTTACAGATTAAATGGTAAGTCAAGGTACAAAACAAATTGCAACTATTCTAAGCTACAGCTTGGTTTTATACAAAGTGTGAACATATTCCACAATGCTTTTTAATAATGAGATATGTGTAATGAAGGCAATCCAAATGTTTTTTTCAAGGAAATATGGTCATCATCTTCAAACACAGTGTACAAAGGCAAACTTTTCAGCCTTCTTACCACTGGGACACAACACTGGTGTTGTTTCATAATGTATTTGGCTTGCTTGTGGTGTCTAATCATTCTTCACAGCTGTAAAAAATATTTCTAAGTTAGTTTTCTCCAACGGTCATACCGAGTTCCTTATAAGCTACATATATCTAGTGACATTATCTGCATTTTCCTTATGGGAAGGTTACCTCACCAAGTCAGTGCTGCATCCAGAACCAATACTGTTATTAGTCTTCCAGCTAAAGAATTTGAAGGCTGAATGCAAATTTTTGTCATAATTCATGGTGGCAGTGTTTATTCAGTTATGAAGTAAGCATAATCAGAACTGATCATGTTAACTCCTAATTATTTAAATCCTGGGGCGCTTTATTCACCAACATCCTTACTGCAGCAGCTGCTGAAACAAAACTACATTTGTTAATGTTTATTTCCCCTCTCACACTCACTTTGAACTTTCAGCATGCCCATGGTACAAACACCTTATTTAGAGGTTGCCAAGTTAGAGAAAAACCTAAATGGGAAAAGCAACCAACAGATGTGTTTGGTTGTTATTTAAGGAGAACGGGGAAACACACATACATTAATGTGACTACGAGATGCCTAACAGAATTAAATCTGAAAATACTTGAAAACTTTAAACATTAAGGAGGAATATGAATTACTTAGGGTACTACACGGGTGAAGAACTATTGTAGGAGTAATGGCATGAGATTGAGAATGGGAAAATTTGACTTGTAGCAGAAAAAACGTGCTGCCAAGGAGAGACCTACCAAGTGGAAGAAAAATTTTGTCCAAATTAAAAAGCATTATTGCTTAGATCTGTAAACTTAAGACAAAAGTACTGGGAAAATGAATTGCAGAAAACTTCGCGCTGGCCCCTTAGGTCATTTTTATGTATGTAAATTTTCATACTTGAAGTGCCATGTGACATTGTGGGATGTCCCAGTTGCTACCCAGGCCACAGGCTTCACACACCACTGGATGGTGGAAGAATAATTCTGCGTCTTTGCTGCTTATTTTAAATGTTAGCAACAAAGTAATATGTGTATAGGTTTTGTATTCTCCAGGCAGTTAAAAATGGAAACCTTTTGAAATCTGTTTGGAGATTATCTCAGTGGATCACTAAATACAGCTAGTGTATGCTGTTCTGTAATACACATCCTTAATACCCATCAGTGATTCATCATGCTGTTTAGTATAATGCAACAAGAGGTTTGTATAATTGTAGCTATAAGTACTGGCAGTCATTTGAAAAGGGTGATGCTGACATTTTTTTCTGGAGAATTTGGTAGCAGAGGCTGTAGGGAGCCATCCATTGGGAACAGGACCTCTGTTCTGGTGCTACTCCCATAGCCTTCAGATTGGCACCTCTTTAGAACAGCACTTTTGTTTTTATTTTCAATCTGTCAAGTAAGAGAAATGGGCACATGCTATCACACAACCTCAACTTTTATGCTTGTAGGGAATCTGAGTGCTGAAAACTAAACCTTTTTCATAGGTTCAGTTTAGAGGCTTAGCTTATAAAAGTTAAGGATTCCCACAGCTCCTGCACTTCTAGGTACAAAATAGGGTGGTAAATACAAGAATTCATCAAACACCTCAGCAAACCACCTGCTCTGAAATGTAAACTCTATGTAATTTATTACTGCAGTAATAAGTGGAACCCTACAACCCTCAGTTCATATTTATTCTCTGAGCTGAGTTAAAAGCCACTGAAATGAAAGTTTTTCCAGTGATGTTTTTGGGCTTTGAGACATGATGTAAAAGCCTCACAGATAGGCAAAGATCGGTCTTGTGACGGGTCTGTGTGTTGCAGTAATAAATCTACATACCGGCTGGAATGAAATTCGGCACTGGAGAAGCAGCTTCGTGGAAAACAGGTTGTGTCTGCTTTTTAAATCACAGTGCCTGTGCCACCCCTATATCTTCCTGCAAACAGGTACAAATACACACATATATAGTATATAAATATATACAGGTATATACACATACATACAGTGCAGATACAGTGTTATAGAAACATAAGGCATAATCTTACATGCACACACTTTCCCCTCTCGGACAGCATTTCTTGGCTTCGCATCACAGAAGTACTCTCTTTAGACTGTGTTCTTTGTTACTGAATGGCTCACTTGACAGTATTTTGATGGCCAAAAGACTATCAGTATTTTAAGTCTCCAGAAGAGGAATTGGGCTGCTTGCCATGTCTGGCAATGCAATCCTGTTCTTCAGAGGTGCTGCATTATTTGGAGGCGCCATTTACATTCCCAGACTAACACTCACTTTCTCAGATGTCAGTGCGGACTGACAGTCACCAGCATAGATGTCAGGCTTTGATCCAACAGTCTTGCATCTTTAAAGAGGCCAAGTACAGGCAAGAGGTCGCTGGATGCGCATGTTTTTATGTCTGTGCAGCATCCACGTGCTCTTGGGTTTAAGGCTCAAATATTCGATCATTTACTTCTCTGGGGAACATTGTTTGCTTGTAATAGAGTAATTCCAGTAGTAAGCTGAAGTATAGAACACAGATAAAGTAACAGCACTCTTTATTACCATATGAAAATCAAAATGTTTTCTGGCTTGTTGACTAGTCCTATTTCAATTGTGATGCATTAGCCTAACCAATGAAAAGCAAGCATGAAAAATAAAAGGAAACAGAATTGGTGCTGGTAAGATTTGCTGCACAAAGATTAGTTGCATTTCTTCTCAGTTGCGTTCAGAGTAGTATTTTATATAAGCTCTCTCTTCTAATTCAAAGCTAGTGTACCTAAGATTTTTTTTTCTTGTCTGTATTAATTTGATAAATAAAAATAGCAACAGCTTCTCTTTAGCAAGGGTTTTTTTTTCTTCCAAACTTCAATAGAAGTGCATCTGGTTGCTTTCAATTATCTATCTTGAAAGAGATTTGTAAAGATGCTGGTATCTAGAGAGGGTGTACCAGGGAACTGGAAGAGTATCATGCATTTCTCATTTGGCTTTGGCACTGTAAAACCCATTCTTTTCTTTCGCCTGTCCTTGGTGGTGGAGGCTCTTGAGGGCATGGCTGCGCCTTCTCATCAGTTACACTGTACAGGTCAAAACTGCTTTGTGGGGTGTAAGGAGAGGTGCCTCCACTGTGATTTTGTGCAAGGTGCTTGCTCTTTCTCTGCAAAGGTGGGTCTGTGCCTATATACACACGTATTTGGTACCCACCTTCTGCAAATACATCAGCTGGTTACTAAGTAATTTCAAACACTCTTAGGTCCTCAGGAGAGAGTCCCCATGATACCAGGCCTTTATTTCCATGGTCAGAGGGTGCTGTTTGGATCCCTGCAGCTCTGGGCAGGGAGGTCTGGATCACTGGGGACCTGCTTTTACATGCTGACTTGGCAGGTTCTGGAAGTGATCATCAGTCAGGTCACTGGATTATCTGTAGAGATAGAATGGGTAGCATGCCCATTATAATGGCCTTAGTTGAACCATTTTTCAGCCTTTATCTTTAGTCTCACAGTAAAATAGTAGAAAGAAAGAAAATAGTAGAAGAATGAAACATTAATCTCTGGGGTTCTATTTCCCCATTTTCTAGAGAAAATTCTGTTTTAAATGGCTAAGCTGTAGCATTTCATAACTGAGCTTCCACTTCTCTGCAGATATCCAGAACTGCTAAAGTAACTGCTTGATTCCTATCTGAGCAACTTTTATATGATTTCACT